ATCCCCCTCCTCCACTGCCATGTACCCAGTGCCTTTCCACCTGCCCTCTACCTCGACACCGGCGGCGCCAGCGCCCTCCACGCCGATCCCCTTGCCACTTGAGCCGTATGATCCCTCAAGCCTGAACACCGCCACCTTCATCTCCGTCGAGGACTACTGCCCGAGCGTCTTTATGCGCAGTCTCTTCTGGAACTGGACTCAGAAGGGCCAAGTGTCCACGCAGAAGTGTCCCGGTGGAGCGTCCGGCTACGTCAAATGGCAGTGCAACTTCAACCCTGACCTCGGACTGGCCGAGTGGTTCCCCATGCGACCTGACTTTAGCGAGTGTCGTTCGGTGTGGCTGGACAATCTGGAAGAGCGTCTAAACAAGGACGACGAGTCGGTGATTCGCATCTCCCACGAGCTGGCTCTGATGACACTGACCAAGGCACTGTACTCTGATGATCTGCAACGAATTTCGCACATCATCAAACTGTCACTGGAGCGAGCCGCTGGCAATGTTCTGAATTGGCACACAATCGAGGTGTGGCACAAGCACCAGATGCTCAAGGAGCTGCTCATCTACATTGTGGAAACAATCAGCAATCTGCTGGGCAATGCTCAGGACGACGCATGGCTTGATCTAAACATTGCCAATCGAAAGGACGTTGCCTCTGCGCTGATCAAGTCACTGGAGAGCAGTGCACTGCTGCTGGCGGAGAACACCAACCATGACGGATCATCGGCCATTGCCAAGGCCAATGTTTGTAAGTTGAACTATTTTAAACACTCAAACGACTATTCCCCTTTAACAAACCAATTTCTTTTGTTTACAGTGGCTTCAGTGCACGTTCTGGACACACGCATGCCAATAAGCCTTCAGTTTCCCACTAATGAAGACACTTCTGGAACTAATGAATGGATCCGCATGGAAGACTCTATCTTCCTGCCAGCACAATCTTTAGTGGACCACTCTCAGAACGGTGTGTAATCTTTTCAACCACTTTATCAAGCATACTCATTTCCTTTCTCACTTAGGACTCGCTAAAGTGGCATTCTTCGCCTACTATCGCATCGAAGATCTACTGAAGCCTTCCCAGCACACCGACATGGACCGATTCAGCTCATTTCTGAGCACGCGACTGCACAACTTTAGCCAGAGCTCACAGCTCTCGATAAATTCGCGAGTCATTGGCGCCGCAATCTCGCACAATGGCCAAATTCAGCATCTGCCTCTTTCACAGCCGGTGACGGTGGTGTTGCGACACATTCAAGACGAAAATATCGCCAGTCCTCGGTGTGTCTACTGGAACGTTGATCGACAGAACTGGCTCACCGATGGCTGCTGGGTGGAGGCGACCAACTCGACGCACACCGTTTGCATGTGCAACCACCTCACTCACTTTGCCCTTCTCAACGAGGTGAAACCGGCCTCTGAGGCAGTGGTCGATGGAGAGAGAATGGAGAGAAATGTGGCCCTGGTTGGCTGTGTCCTGGCTCTGGTCATTCTGGCACTAGTCTCAGTGCTCATCTTCCTCACTCCCACTGGCAGCACAGTGTCCAGCTCCATTCACCGAAACCTCTGCTTAACCCTCTTCGTTTCCGAGTCCATCTACCTGATTGCCCTTTTTGGTGCCGACATTCCCAATGTCTTCTTCTTCTGTCTCGCCTTTCTTCACTACTTTCTCATGTGCTCCTTCTTCTGGACCTTTTTTGAGTCTTTTGACATTTACATGAACGTCAACTCTATTTACGAGCACTTCAAGTCATCAAAGCGCCTCTACTGGTACTACATTATCGCCTACATCAGTCCGGCGTTCATCTGTCTCACTTGTTTCATCGTTGATGCAAATTGCTATCGCAACTTTGCCAACATTTGGCTTCGAGCTGACAACTACCTGTACCTGACCTTAGTGGGCCCGGCAATCGGTCTTGCCCTTGCCAGTCTCGTCTTCATTCTCTTTGCGTACATTCTCACACGCAACCATGTGATCACCACTACGACCATCAAATGCTTCGAGGACATTCGCGTCGGCGGCTCAAAAAGCCTCATTCGGTGGATCCTCCTGCTGCTCTTCTTCCAGGGCCTCAACTGGTCCACCGCTCTGGTGTACCTGAGCAAGCAGGACTCCACTGTGCTGGCAGTGCTCTTCGCCCTGAGCAGCGTCGCCACTGCCCTCTTCCTCGCCGTCTTCTGCGTTCTGAAGATTGAGAACGTGCAGCACAGTCGCCTTTTTCGGCACCTTCCCTTCACCCTCTGCCAGGACGAGTCACAGCTGTCGAGCGCCAAGAACTCCACCACCTCTGACGTCTACTCGACCCGTCCGGTGGTGACGCAGGTCACCTCGACGCAGGTCAACGGCATGAACGGCCTACACGGAACGCCCCTGGGCCATTCTCCGTCGACGCCCACCGCCACCAGCCCAGTGTCAATGTCGCCCTGTCTGCCGCAATCCCACCCGTTGCCCATTGTACGTTACACTACCCTATCCCGTCCAGGTATTGCATCCTGCATGCGTGCTCAGTAGCATGGCACACGCTTTTAACTTCTTTCCCTATCTGCACGTTTTCCACTCCTGCCTTGCTTTTGCTTGCTTGCTTATTTGCACTGCATTTCCCCACACTTTGCACCATTTCAGTCATAAACTAACCTTCACCACTTTTCTTTCTTTCTTTCTCCCAGTCTCAATCAACTCATTGGAACTGTCAGCAAGACTCGCCCAAAAAGTCCACAGCACTCGATCACCAATCTATTTTAGCTCAACAGGATCCCAACTGCCTTTTGTATAGTTTGAATCACATGAAGACGTTGCCTCGAGAGTTCAACCCTTCCTTCTGTGGACAGGAAGCCTCTATGCGCAACATTGAAGGCATGATGTCTAACAAAAAGCGAGCTAAAGCGGCCCAGGCAAACTTTGAGTTTGCCAGTTTACATCGGCCGGCTGGCAATTTGGGTAACCGTAAGCAGTTTGGCGGCGGCGGTCACGAGAACAAGTACTCCGTGCAGACACAGGGCGTCATGGGCAGCCAGTTTGCACCGAACCTCGACCACATCTACGAGAGCATCGACAGTGACCAGGCGCTGTACGAGCACCAGCGTCGGCTGAACATGCAGAACTTCTACGGTGGTGCCAACAACTACCGAAGCAAATCGACTGTGAATGATGACGATCTCAGCTCTTCGTCCATATACGAGGACAAGCCACTGCTCTTTGCGAATCACAACTCCACCCTCAGCTATGATAACCACAAGTCAAAGAGAATCTTTGTGCCGCAGCACTACCACTCCAATGCCAGCATTTACGATAACAAGACGGTGCCCTACAGGGAGACCAGAATGTCACCGCCCATGCTGGGTCAGGATGGTCTGCAGCAACAGCAGCTGCAACAACAACAACAACAACAACAACAACAACAGGTCACTGTCGCTGGTGTGCCTCTGCACGGTCAGCCCAGTGCTCTGTGGCATTTTGGCAAAGAGCCCTATGAGCTGCCTGATCTGCTGCAAAAGTCAGGCAATGCGAGCAACCTTCTGGTGTCCTACTCTGGCGAGAACCGATTCCTCAACAAGGTGGTCAACAGTGGCAAGTCCACTCACGCAAAGTGAGCTGGTCTCTCCTGTACATAGCAGCTATTTATTTGCGTCCACCCATCCACACACCCACACACACCCTCACACTAGTCTTTCCTTGCTGTTCAGCGAACTGAAGTGACGAGCACACAGTGGAGCTAGTCTCAGCAGCAGTTTTCTACCACACACAAACCCCTATGATTACCTTTGCCATTTGAATCATTGAGTTGAACGACGCACTGTGCCAAATTATGGTCCCCTTTCCCCTCACACACACTCACACTCGAATTGTTTTTATTAAGCTCACCCGCCATCACCTCAGGCATCGAATCTCAAACTCCCGAAACTGCCATTGCTGCCCTTCTCACCCTCACTTGTGTTGATCCATCCCATTCGTTGAAACTTGCAATTTTCACTTTTCTGTTCCTTATTCTTCTTGACCAACATTTGTACAGTTTTCTTTTTGTTTTTGTATATTCCAACTATTTATCTTTTTTCATCATGTATGTACATAGTGTACATTTGTTTAAATAATAAAAAATCAGACTAAAAAGTTTCATTTCCATTTTCATTTGATTTTTGAAGGTGCTTTTGTATGCACTAGTAAAGGGACACATTTGTCAAGTTTTATTCTTGTTTTGTATCAGAGGCACAGAAGGTCAAAGTTGAGTGATGACTTTAGTGGTNGAAGCATTTCGTTAACTTGTCGTTTCGGAGAAATATACATAAAAACTAAAAAAAATGATGATACGATTCGCGCGATGACTTGAAAGTTTCTAGGTTGGGACGTCATCCAAACTAATTTTATTTGATTCAGAATAGCTTGTTTAGTTAGTTTGGTAAAGAAAATAGCGTAATTTTGAATTAGGGTCAAGAAATCTATTTTTCATTACGGCGCAAAGCTGTCGGCCAATTTGTAGTGCAACTTTTTCATAAAAAGCTTTTATAAAATTGATTTCTTGGCCTTACTTCAAACTTGCATTATTTCTTTTACCAAACTAATTAAACAAACATTTTCTGGTCAAATATAATTGGTTCGATTGGAGCTCCAAAACATCGTTTGGTGTGTGATTGATGCAATGCATATCAATGCAGGCTTCACTGCGATAGGCTCCACCCCTTCACTGTCGCTCGCACTACCGCTTGCGCGCTGTACNATATTCCAACTATTTATCTTTTTTCATCATGTATGTACATAGTGTACATTTGTTTAAATAATAAAAAATCAGACTAAAAAGTTTCATTTCCATTTTCATTTGATTTTTGAAGGTGCTTTTGTATGCACTAGTAAAGGGACACATTTGTCAAGTTTTATTCTTGTTTTGTATCAGAGGCACAGAAGGTCAAAGTTGAGTGATGACTTTAGTGGTCATTGAGTTTAGTGTGTTCACTGAGTGAGTTGCCAGGGTGTATGTACAGTTCGAAAGATGATTCTACAAATCTCAGGCGGTCAAATTCGCTTTAGAGGCAACAGCTTGCGTGGCGTTTCTGCGCTCTGCGTGGTCAGTGGTCCAACGACAGAAGGTGAGACGACGGCGCCTGGTGGCTGCATAAAGTGATGGTTGACCTTACTTTTGATGTTACTGTTGAAGTGGTCATTAAATCGATTCGTCCTTTCGCTGATTTTCGTCGACAGATTGTTGATCAGGTTGGCTGTGTTGCGAGCATCGATGGTGAAGCCGTCCGCACTGTGAAACACCTGCTGCTGGTCAATTGCTGGCACACCTAGAAAATTAAAAGTAATAGAAGAAGAAGAAGAGACACCAGAAGGTTTCAATCGCAGTTTAGCTGTGTGTGTTTGCTACTTTTGCTCATGCGAGTTTTTGGTTTGCTCCTGTCCGTCAAGTGCAGCAGCCGCTTGCTTGTGCCCTTCAAATTTTAAACTCACTTAGCTTTAGCTTGTGCAGATTGCTCAACAATTGCTCACGTCTCTTTGGCAGAAAGTACTTGGTCACTATCTCCTCGTTCTCCGAGTTCTCCAGCTTCCGCAACAGTCGGTCTTCGTACCCGTTCATCTCAGTGTGGTGGGAGTCGATGATGTCAGAGTCAAAGTAGCTCGTCGGTGAGTCTGGTTTGTAAAAGCGTGAAGGTGCAATGTCCCTTGTCCCATTCTGGTGCTGGTGTTGGCCATTGCCAACGTTGCCGCCTCCACCTGCTGGTGGCAGTTTGACTCGAGTGCCCATACAAATCTCTGGTATGATCCACTGGCCGTTGTTCTCGTCCCAGGTCGCCTTTGCTTTGATCATCTCAATGTTGGCGTAGTTGCACTCACTCCGCAAGAACGGCTGAATCTTTTCGAGAATCTGCGTCAGCAGCTGCTGTTGTTGTTCCTGTCGTCGAATCGTCTCCAGGTAGTCGGTGCGTTCGCTTTCAAATTCCGACTGCAGATCTCGCACTTCCTGCTCCAGTGACTGAAGCTTTCTTTTAGCTTTCTTCAGCAGCAGTGACTTGGCTCGTAGCTCCTCGGTGATGTCACCGTACGCTTTGAGCAGCAGTCGGTCATCGTCATTGAGCTGGGAGAGCGCTTCAGACATTGCATTTTTCCTGCTTTCAGCAATCTTCTTCTTTCTCGCTCGTTTCTCCTTCAGTTCGGCATCATTGGCCTTCTCCCCTCCGACCATTTGCTCCTCAATGGCATGCAGTTTTTCCACTGCCTGCAACACCGCCTCCCCTCCCTCTTCAGTCGTCGTGAATGGCACAGGTTCTTTGCCGTTTTCATAAATGGATTTGAGTTTGTTGATGTCCTCTGCTAGTTTTTCCTTGTGTTTCACCTCATCTTCGTATTTTTTCAGCAGATTCTGCATTCTTTCATCGTATTCTTGCTTCATCTTTTCAATTGCGGCAGTGTCATCTACTGACGAAACTCGGTCTGCGTTATCTGAAAAATGAATTAGTTTGCAAAACTCTGAAAATACCAATTTTTTCTTAACTAACCTGCAGGCAGCACATTTCCATCAATAAGATTTTTCAGGCGAAGAATCTCTTCTCGGTACTCTCTGAGCATTGCTTCCTTAGGATCTTCATTAATTTTAGGCTTATTTTTGATGTTCTTGGCACGATTGGCGTAACGCAGTGTACTCAGCGTTTCGTCGTAGTTGTTGTCAGCTGGCGAGAGACAGGCCACCATGAGCGTCTTTGTGTTGCCTCCCAGACTGTCCTGCAGCAGCCTGGTCAGCTTTGAGTCACGAAAAGGAATGTGCAAGGACTTTCCGTCCACCAGAGCAGAGATGACATTGCCCAGAGCAGACAATGACAGGTTGATTTTGGTCGCCTCCTTCAGTCGGTCTCCGGTAGCGCCCGTCTTTCCCTGTCGTTCACTGCCCGCCAAATCAACCAGATTGAGCTTTCCGAATTTGACATTGTTCGCCTCGATATCCACCGTTTGGATGCGCTCAATGTAAATGGTAAAGATGGAGTGGCTGCGCGAGGAGTCGGCGTTCATCAGCGTCGCTCCCACAGAGCGGTTTTTCCAGCCATTCTCCATAATCTTTTCACAGGATTTCACATCATTGACAATGTGCATGGAGAGGTTGGACACGTACACACCGCCTTCACTACTCTCCTTTAAATCCAACTTTTTCTTGCTGTCAGCACCGAGTAGATCTCGGATCTCTTCATTGTAAATTTCCAAATACGATGCTTGGACAAGAAACTTGGCGTCTTCCGTTGTTGAGATCGCTTCAAAGATGTGCTCAAAAGACCTATTTGAATGGGTATTTTTGCTGGGTTAGCTGCCTTATAGTAAGTTATCATGTTTACCTTGGAATAATTCCTCTGTGCACCGGATCACTTGTTCCTTGCATTGTGAAACTCTTTCCGCATCCTGTTTGGCCATATGCAAAGACTGTGCCATTGTATCCTTCGACGACTGACTGTAAACAAATATTGAGTACATTTTTGATAATTTAAAAAACCTTAAATTACCTCGACAATGGGAAAGACAATTTCATTGTAGATCTGCTCAGTTGTAGAGTCGGTAAAGTAAGCGCCATCAAAGCAGAAAACTTTTGGCGCGGCAGACTTTTCATTGGGATTGATTAGACTGCACTGGCCACAAGATGAGTCAATGGAAACAATTGTCTAATACAAAGAAAGATGTTTTATAAATAGCAAATGTTATTTAGACAATGTTGAAGTGATTCAAACGTCGAAAGTGTTTGCGACAACAATATGCGTATTTGCATTTTCTGAACTACCTATTGCCATATCTTTGCATCGATCGCACAAACAGCGCACTGCAATCGGTTCACCGTACAACTTTTCAAGTCAAACAAAACTCAGTGTTTTCTGTTGTTTGTCTTTCTAATTAGCCTTTAACGTCTGGTCATTCTGAAGAAGACTGTGTGTTACTCACCTGGCAGGAAAGCTCCTTCTCGCGTTGATTCTGCGGCCGACATCTGACGATTACTTTAACCGCCTCTGCAGTCATTGAGCAACTACCACTGAGCTGGGCAAAGTCTTAGATCGATGTGAAGTGGTAAAGTGGTGCTAGCCACCAGTTATTAAAGTAGGGCAACAAGCAACAAGATGGAAAAGAACAGTGGACAATCACAGAGATAAAGTTGTGGTGGTTAGGTCGTAGTGGGCTCCCTTGGGAGAGACATTTCAGCAAACCGATGCAATGCACACAAAAAGGCAAGAGAACTACAGTGATGGTACCTTAAATGACAAATGCAATTTCACACACAAAATGTTTCACTTCTTTCAACTGTCACACACCGGACACACACAACTCCACAACCCCACAACCGCACATTTACCCTGTAGCGAGTGTCAGCAAATAGTACAGCTGCATGTTGAATGGTGGTACCAGCAGCAGCAGCAGTATAATCGGCAACAGCAACAACGGCAGAAGCACTTGCTGGCTTTCTCTCTCTTGACGGCTGCAGTCAGTCTTCGGAGGGCGACAAATGAATCGACTAAATTCTTGGTTGCCATGACACAACGACACTCTGACACACACTTGGGCCATCTTACCACTGCTGCTGCTTTGCTAGCACCAAAGCACTCAACCGTCTTCTTTTCAGTTGGTCCTTCTTCTCCCAGGTCGGTGAGAGAGAGGTATACGAATTCCTTGGTATGCCTGGGTGCCAGTTGAAAAATCGTTTCACTCGTCAGCAATCGATCACTCGATCAGCTACAACGGTTTCAACTGCACCTCTACGCCTTTGTCTTGATTGCCTCTTTTTAAAGGGAAAAAATTTATCAAAATTTGTTTTCAAATTGTAAAAGTAGGATCTGAATAATTTACCGGTATATGTCTTCTGACCATGCAGTTGAAACGGCAGCAGTCAGGCAGGCACCCAGCGGCACAGCATGACAACTCCGCCGACTAAGTGGATAATTGACAGGCGAGCAGTTCCGGCAGGAGTATCGGCACTAGCAACCAATTGGTTCGACCCACTTATGCAAATTGCCGGTCGAGCAATATATGCTGTATTGATTGCCCTACCGATGGCCTATTGGTTAGGGGGCTATTGGTGTTCGCAGTGATGGGTGGCCTACTACCTTACTGAGGGCAGCTTCCTGATTGTGGCACCCTGCCACCTGGTCGGCAGCCACTTTACCAGCTGTAAGCAGCCGTTTTTGTTGCACCGACGCACTTTTCCATTTTTTGAACTTGGCGGCACAGCACCATTTACACTGTCGCTGCTCTCTGCGATGTAATAGATGCTGTTATCGAGAGAACGCCAGTTTGTTGTGATTTGAGCCACTTGGTCAGTTCGGTACGTTCTCCAAGCTAGTTCAGACCAGCTTCGTCACCCAGTTTTAAACCATCTCAACCGACGAAACTTCCCAGTACTTCTGCTTTAACTTCTTAAACTCATCTTCAAGTCAACGGCCTCAATATGTCCGCAAAACTGTACGTCCCGCTGGGCATCAGCGTCTTCTGGCTGGTAATTGGCTTTGTCGTTCCCCTCTTCATTCCAAAGGGCCCCAACCAAGGGTGAGTACGATCGTTTGGCTTGGCATTGTGCATCTGCTACAACAAAAAAAACAGTTTCAGAAGTGTCTGAATACGGCGAACAAATAGATACAATGCTAATGGGCGTTTTTGTTTCCTTGTAGAGTTACTCAAGTCATGCTCATGCTCACAGCTGTGTGCTGTTGGGTGCTGTAAGTAAACGTACATTGAAGCATTTGACTCTCCAATGAATTTACCATTTTCAATTTTTTTAGATGGCTTTCCACTTACATTGCACAACTAAACCCCCTTTTCGGCCCTCAAGTCAGCAACATCACAATGAGCATGATGTACCACTACAAGTTTTAAGTGCAAGCACCGTTTTTACATTCTGGATCATTGCCTTTTAATCAAGAAACATCATTTTCATTTCCTCCCTTTTTCCTGGTCATGTGATACAATTTTATTATTTAAATGTAAATCTAATCATCTGTATTGCCAACAATTGTTATTAGATAATTTATTCAAGAAATCGTGCTTTCAGGTCGTTCATTCATGAAGCAAGCGCATTAAAAAGGGCTCGTTCATATGTAATGCTATGCTGCATTGACTGATTCCTTGATTAATTTGTCTCTGCCTGAACTCATCGTCATCAAGCCCAAATGACTTGTCTTGCAAGTGCCATGCTACACTGAAGAAGTACATGACAATGGCTGTCTGGGTGAGCAGCAATTTGCCAGGCAATATCGATCTGAACCTAATGGCCATTGATGCACTAATTACCGGGTTCAGTGGATCTCGTTGCTAGTCAGCAGCAGCAGCAGCGTTCATTGAACAGCGAAAATTAATTAAAACCCAGCCAATTAATATATCGTGTTGCCGTGCTTCGAATTTGCTTCAAAGACCACCAAGTCGGTTGTACTAACTTTCTGACCACTTGCGCTATGTCATCACTGGCATAGCACTGCACTTCATGGCTGACTCGGTTTGATTCGGTCTTGCAATGGAAGCGACCAGGGACATTCTCACTTGATGAGAAGTCTAAACTGTCATTCTCCATTAGTGACCGTCAATGCGCGAGCCCAACCGCCGCCACGTTCTGTGCTCATTATCGAAATCGTACCCTATACTTAGCAGAACCAGTCAGACTACAGTGCTGCCCAAATGAAGTCCATATTCAAATTACCAGATCACTTTTGGCCCTGCGAAGCAAGCGCTTCTCATTCTCTATCATATGTAGTCTCTATATAGAACTGTCAATTTTACCAATCACAGGTAATATTACTGCGATGCAATCTGACCATCAGTGTGGTCACCACATTTGTCGGACGATGAATCACCGCTATTCCTTCCGTCACTAAAAGTGCACTTCTCTGCATCTCGGGTAGGGCACCCGGAGAGAACCCAGCAAGTGAGCGGTTGAAATATGAGCGCACCAAAATCAGACCAGTAATTGGATCAACTGGCGCAACGAGGATTGTGTCTGGCAGTGTCTGAGCAGGTAAGTGCAAGTAACTGTGTGTGCCACTCACCTGAACAGCAGCGGCGGCGGCGACAGCAGTGCGCACTCTCCCCTGTCGGGCGTCGTAGAGCGTCGGCCGCATTCCACCTCTCGAAGTGAGTGAGCGAGTGAGTGAATCCACGGGGGCACTCCATCGACAACGAAACGAGATTATTGACGTTGCTGCGAGTTGACTGGCACACAAACACTCCACTCGCACACATACACACTACGGACTGTCAGGCAACTGTGCCCTCTCAACTCTCTCCCTCCGACGCCCTCAGTCCACAAACACTCTAGACCGCACACATTTTTGGGGCCTAACATTCAGCCAGTTGTACTGTCGCCGACGCCGTCCAGCCAGTCAGTATCCTCAGAACCCCACCACTGCCGTAAGTCGCAGGGTGCCTTCTGCCCAGCGTGAGCGGTCAGCACAGCAATCACCCAAACCCAAAACATCATTTCAATAGAAAGTGCCCTGGTGCAGAATGTGCCGCACCGGAAGCAAATCACCTTCATCCCCGAAGATCGCCACCCCCATCATTTGCACTATGTAGTGACTGGTGTGCATCTGGTGCGTTGCATCCTCAACGCCAATCTCCCGCACACTGCGCCCTCGGCGGACCATCGCTCCACCGCTAAGCCACCGTTTACGATGAAATTATCAAGCGCATGGAGCGTTTGCAGCAAACCGAAAAGCCATTCGATCGCCTACCCTTGCCTTTCGCACCATGCCTCTAATCACCGACATGAAGGGCGGGAGGAAAGCCCCTTTTTTATCACTTCAGTATCACTTCCCTTTGCCTCACTAGCAAAAGCCTTCCCTCTAGAACAGATATGGCAATCGAAAATAGCCAGGATACATCTTTTCTTATTAGTATTACTTTCCTCGTGTTTACCACCAGCGTTATCATATTCAGGTACTGTTTTCCTCCTACTTGACATGTTTTTCCTCTTCCTGACACTGTTAATCACTTTGCAGAATGTAAATTTCCTGAGCATTGGTCAGGAAGTTGGTTTCAAAAATTTGTGCCAGATTATATACATATATCAAGAAACAACATCTCCGAGAAGGGGATATGCCGAAAGAATGTCGGCGAAAAGTATCTTATCGAAAATAGGTAAAAAATAACTGTTTTGTTATTTAGGAAGCACTAATCATTTTCCTTTTTACAGAAGTGAGAAATGCTTTCGCTGTCTGGTGATAAACGAACGTCACCCCAACATTTTACAATACAAAGAAAGTATGTCCCTCACCACTGTCGATGTTTTCAGTTCTAACCAACCATCATTTCTTACCACCAGCACCGTCATGCTATAACAAAATCTCGTTTGATATTTGCAATTATATCAACGGCGATGCGCCTTTATATTCGCTCTTTAGAGGTAATATCTGAAGCACTCCATGTGTTGAGACATTGCTCTAATGATCAAACATCTTCTCCAACAGTCAACACCTCTCCAATCAAGTGTCCTTTTAAAGGTCCTTATTCGTTCAGTTATTCCAAAGGCATCAACGAGTGCAAAGATCCGTTATCGGAAATAGACGAGTGCACCGATGACAAGAGATTACTGCTAAAGTTTAAAGCATGCGCCGATATTCCTGGCTCCGAAAGTCGAGGTAAAATCATCATCAATTTCTCTCTTCAACCGACTTGTATCTAAATGAATAATCGTTGTCTTCCCAAACAGTTGAGGAACTGGAATGCGTCGCCGAGTGGAAGGAGGGCTCGTACAAGTACCTCGTCGGCAGGCTGCACCACAACTCTGCCAACTCTGATGACGACAAGTTTCGGTGTTTTGTGATCGAGAAGAACAACACCGACCCGGTGGAGAGCTACACTATTGGCCAGTCTGGCGACGCTAGCTGTGATGGTCTCTACGCTCCTCGAGACGGACTTCGCGCATTCAAAATTCGCAAGTCCAGTCAGATTGAGCCCAAATGTGACTTTCCCAGCTGGCTCTCCGGCAGACGGTGGAAGACACTGGACAACCGACTGCACTACGACTTTACCGTGCCACAAACTTTCACCGTCCTCAACGAACGGCATGACGTCAATCGAAATGCAAAGTGCATTGAATCGGACGACGTTTCATTTCTCAGTCAGCAGTTCAACACGAGTCGCTTTGTGGTGCACACAACACTGGGCTGGTAATTGAGTTGCATTCAACGGAGGATTCCCCATCAATGCTTAATTTGCTATCTCTCTTTCCCTATCCTTTTCCTCCTGCAGCAAAAGTGGCTTCGCTTGTATGTACGCTTATTTGCGCGAAGACCGAATAGTTGAACTGCAAATCGGCAGAATCGTGTCCCACTTTGCCGACGCCTGTTCGGTGTACCACTTCAATCCTGCCTATGCTAGCTTCACCACCTTGACAAGTCAGTTGATAGCAGTCTTTAAGCGTTCTCATTCACTCATTCAATCTTTTTGTTTATTTGTACAGCTTTTGACGACTACACCAAAGAATGTTCACTCAAGGGACTGTACTCGATACGAACAAAAGTACCATTTTACGACAAGTATGACCAAAGCAGCAGGGAGCGAATCAGCAACTCTACGCTTTCTCGCATGATTTCCTTCCTCGACTCTCGGTTTATGTGCCAGGAGAGGTCACTGAAGCTAAAGTCCAATTGCGATGATCCAGACCAGTTTCAGTTTTCTTGCGCAAGTGATAATCGGGTTAAGAGTAAGTTGACAAAGCTGTTCTTCCTGTTCTTTCCTTTCAGTTGAACTGACTATCAACTTTCTCTGTTTTCAGACTTTAAATGCCGTGGCGGATGGAGAGAAAACAGCACCCAGATGTTCTTGGTGTCGTTTCTTGAAAAGTTCAACTACGAGTACTGCATCACCTTGAACACAGAGACCAATGAGATCAAGATGGTGAGAAACAGTCACTTCTGCTATCGAGAAAGCAACAGCCTCCCCAGCAGCAGCAGTGATCAAAGTGTCAAATTCCCAATGGAACTGCCAAAGACACTGAACGAAGAATCCGTCTCCTTCACCTTGATTAGCGATGGTAAGTGCCAAAGAGGGTGCTTTGGTCACCCTCAACCACAACCCTCATCAAACTGACCCCCTCTCTTTCTCCATCAGGCTCCTGCAGTCAGCAATCGAGTGCACCGTCCACCCTGCACCTAGGCCCGGCATTTTCACTGAGCATGGCCACGGTTCTGCTGCTGCTGATGCTGCTCAATCTGCGTATCAGTCTGCTGTAGAGAGAAGATGCCAAGAAGGTGTAATCCGGCTTAAGTGCCATTACCTGCGCCCAAACCGCCTATGGCCGTCTCAGCTCCTCCCCTCCCCTCCCCTCCTCTTCCCCTCCTTTCCCCTAGGACCAAGAGTAATTCTTGTATGGTTGTGATAACTAACCTGTTGAGACAATGATAGGCTCATAGTGCTCTTAACTTGTGTGTATATATTTTTGTACGTCACCCCCTTTAGAACCCCTTTACTGCTCTACACCTTTGTACATGACACAGCTACGATCTATAACCATTCTTCTTATAGACGCCTAGTCCCGCTGTACAGTGAACAATTCATGTTCTTCAACTTGTAAATATAAAACAATAAAAAGCGTACAATTATTTATATTTTAAAAAATTGATTTATAAATCAATTTTTCTAAGGGATAGCAGTTTTTTGTATGGTTAAAAATTATACATTTAAGATGAATTGAAAAGTTATAAATTTAATTGAAAGAGAGTGGGGCAAGCGCAACGCTAAAGAGTTAAGTGTAGAGATCCTCTTCATTGTCAGCGTTGTTATTGTTGCTGCTGTTGGGGGCACCAGGCTGCGAAGCAGGCTGACTGCCGGGGAATCTAGGAGTGAAAAATGTTGTTAGTAAACTATCAAATGAAAATCTCATCCTCATTGAGAGCATACCGGAAATTGGTGCCAAAACCACGACTTTGCTGGAGAGTTTGCGAAAACATCTCGTACTTGCGCACGTCAGCNAGGGAATCTATGGGTGAAAAATGTTGTTATAAAATGAAAATCTCATCCTCATTGAGAGCATACCGGAAATTGGTGCCAAAACCACGACTTTGCTGGAGAGTTTGCGAAAACATCTCGTACTTGCGCACGTCAGCGTCACTGACGGATCGGCGAGCAAACTTCATGGCCTCTTCAAAGTGGTCGCGGCGAATTTCAGGAACTGGATCGGGTTCCTCGATTTCCTAAAGAGGTAACAGTTTGTGTTACTACTTATTTTCAACAGCAACCAGCACTAGAAGCTTACCATAGCCGAATCGGCGGCGCCAGATTCCTTCTTCTCCTTGATGCGCTTAATCTCCAACTCAATGGCCTCGCGGATAGCCAGTTTGCAAGCTCGCTGGCAGATCTCGGTCAGATCAGCACCGCTGAAACCGTGAGAAATCTTGGCAATGTAGCCGAGATCAACCTCCTTGGAAATGGGTGACTTGCGAAGGTTGGCGTTGAGAATGGCCTCGCGCGACTTTTCATCGGGCAAGGGGATGTAAATCAGCTGATCGAGACGACCAGGGCGAAGAATTGCAGGATCAATAATGTCCGGGCGATTAGTGGCGCCAATGATGAAGACGTTCTTCTTGCTGCCCATGCCGTCCATCTCAGTGAGGATCTGGTTGATGACTCGGTCGGCGGCGCCGCCAGCATCACCCACACTGCCACCTCGAGCCTTGGCAATGGAGTCCAACTCGTCAAAGAAAAGCACGCAAGGGGCGGCGGCACGAGCCTAAACAGAAAAAGAGTGTTAAATGAAAGAATGACTTGGACAATTCAAAATGTACAAATTACCTTGTCGAACACATCGCGAACGTTAGCTTCCGACTCACCGAACCACATAGTGAGAAGTTCAGGACCCTTGATTGATATGAAGTTGGCCTGGCATTCGTTGGCAATGGCCTTGGCCAGCAGCGTCTTACCGCATCCAGGAGGGCCATAGAAGAGGACACCTCGAGAGGGAGTCATGCCAAACTTGAGGAATTTGTCGGGGTACTCCACCGGGTACTGGATCATCTCCTGCAGCTCACGCTTGACGTTCTGCAGACCTCCAATGTCCTTCCAGGTGACATTGGGCACTTCGACGACTGTCTCACGGAGAGCACTGGGACTGCTCTTGCCCAGAGCGTAGCGGAAGTTCTCCATGGAAACGGCAAGTGAAGCGAGCACTTCAGCGTCAATCTGGTCCTCGTCCAGATCGATAAGATCCATCTTTTCGCGAATCTGCTGCAGAGCAGCCTCAGTGCAGAGGGCAGCCAAGTCGGCGCCCACGAAGCCGTGTGTCTCCTGGGCCATCTTCTCCAGGTTGACGTCCTCAGCCAGTTTCATGTTCTTGGTGTGAATGCGAAGAATTTCCATTCGTCCAGTGGCATCGGGAATGCCAATGTCCACTTCACGGTCAAATCGTCCAAAGCGACGCAGAGCAGGGTCAATGCTGTTGGGACGGTTGGTGGCAGCCATGACAATGACGTGTGATCGCTGCTTGAGACCGTCCATCAGAGTCAGTAACTGCGAAACGATGCGACGTTCGACTTCTCCGTGAGTCTTTTCACGCTTGGGGGCGATAGCATCAAGCTCATCAATGAAGATGATGGCCGGAGCGTTCTTCTCGGCCTCCTCAAAAGCCTTGCGCAGATTGCTCTCAGACTCGCCGGCTAACTTGCTCATGATCTCAGGGCCGTTGATGAGAAAAAAGAAAGCGCCCGTTTCGTTGGCGACAGCACGGGCAATCAGAGTCTTACCGGTACCGGGAGGTCCGTAGAGCAGAATGCCACGAGGCGGCTTCACACCAATGGCCTTGAAGAGAGCCGGATGACGCAGCGGCAGTTCAACCATCTCCTTGATGACAGCCAACTGCTTGCGGCAGCCTCCAATGTCGTCGTAGCCGACAGAGTTCAGAGACTCCTCTTCCTCCTCTCGCTTAATGGGCTCTCCATCGCAGTGGATTACGGTGTCGGGCGAGACAATGCAGAAGGGACTTGGGTCAGTTTCGAGAACTTTGAACTCGACAGCCTTCATGGCGGCGCGGACAATGAAAAGATCGCCTTTGTGGATGGGGCGGTAAGCTTCGAGAAAGTACGGCTTGAGGAAGACCTCAAACAAACTGCCAGTGACACCTTCCACGGTGTCATCAATCGGGAGCACGTGAATGCGCTTTCCGTACTTGACCTCGGGGCAGTGCTGAACCGACACGAGATCTCCGAAGCGGACGCGCAAGTTGTTGCGGACGCAGCGATTCATGCGAATGTGCTCATTCGGGCAAGTTTCGTCAGAGAGAACAATGCAGACAGTATTGCGGCGCTTCTTTCCTTTCAACAGGACAGTGTCGCCACGGAACAGATTGAGTTCTTCCATTTTGGCCTGAAAACAATATTGCAGAATTGTAAGAACAAAGTTAGGAAACTTCGGGAATGAAAAGTAAACATACGGGCGAGAGAGCGACGACGGAGTTATCATCGTTGGTGGCCTCTTCAACAAAAAGGCGGTTGGGCTTTTGCTTGCGCTTCAGAATGGCCGTGGCCAGATCATCGTTTCTATGAAGATGAAAGAATAAACATGTTTGATGCTTCGAGAAAGAGTAACAGAGAGATGTGTACACTAGCTCAACTTACCCTTGCTTCGCGTCAGCCATAGTTGCGATTAGCTGATGGGGAAGTGCGGTAGTGGATGCGGAGACGATTACACGGTAAGATCACTAAAGAAGGTACCAGGAGGGGGTCTAAAAACAGCTT